TTCTTTCTTTCTTTTTCTTTCTTTCTTTCTTTCTTTCTTTCCTTCTTTCTCTCCATCCCGCTTTTTTTACTCCTTTGTATCTTTCAGTAACTTTCCTGGTAGTCTTCTACATGCATGCCAAAATTCCAACATTTGTCTATGAAAAGTTTACTAGCTGCTCCGATTTCTTTCTTTTTCCCTCCTTCTGCCAACATAGTTTTATGATTATATATCAGACCCACCATCCTGTCATCTGCCCCTTTCCACAGAGGCTTCACAACATATAAATACATAAATACCTGTGTGCAAGCACAAGTATTTTAACCCATTCAGTCAAAGTAACTGAAGCAAGCTGCCTGTGGCACGAATGCTGACAATGTGAAAGATTAATCCAACCCGCTCATTATGTATTTCAACATACACTGGAAAAGTAAAGCACTCACACAATGTTACTTGGAATAATGTCACTGGATATTTTCAGGTGAGCTTTGCAAGGCTAGATGAAGGATTCTTCACTTGCTTAACAGTGTGTTTTTAAAAGCTAATTTTCCGTATTATCTTTACAGCACTGACTTTTCAGGCTGTTTGACTTCTGCTACACTATACAGCAGAACTGCCTAAAAATACCTTGTAGTAAGAAAGTTGACGTATTACAGATGGAGAGAAGAGTGCAAAAGGAGAATACCTGAGAATGCTTGGAGACCCAGTGGCGCAAGACATTCAGGACGCGATTTGTGGCTGCCCTGCGTATTATGAACTCTTTGTCACACATGCGTTCAGAGTTGTTAAATCCTGTGTGGAAAGAACACACATTGGAGTTAATGGAGATAGCAAAAATTCAAATATGGTATGAATAACTTTGGTAAACTGAAAGCTCATAGAACACTTAGATGTAATAATAAGAAAGACGCCTATATAGACTTCCAAATATGACCATCACTTAAATTCTGCAAGATCAGTAGAAGACAACCTTGCCCATCATAACTAATACAGACACCAACTTGGGCCAGCATTCAGTTTTAGAAAGATTAAGAATATTCTCCCATGTCATCAACATCAAGGTTTTCCTTTTACAACCCCAGATACCTGAAAACAAAGGTTTACCAGCTACAGCATTTCCCCATATATCTTGCAAAGACAGGTTTTTTTTTAGTCAGCAATATTTACTTATAAAGAAATGGTTTAAAAACAGACAAGTTTCTTCCTACTTCACACTACTGCTTCTTCCTTTTCTCCTTCTGCTGTAGCTGTATCATAAATACCATCTGTATAATAAAATAATGATTGTTGTATTTTATAATAATAAAATGATGACATTAAAACATCTTTATTTTTTTTAAAAAAAGATAATTCAAGATACACTTGGTAAGTATCTATTTTTCTAAGTTTTCATTTGATTTGACACTGCTATTTTCCATTTCACTCAGTGCAGAGTTTAGGGAACAAATGGAACAAATTCAACATGATCAGTGCTTTACTATTTTTTGGCATAACAGTTGTTCTAAAGTCTGTACATTATTATAAATAACAAAGGCAGACTAAACTTGTTTATTCTTGAGAAATCCATTACAGTTATTCTAGGAGGTTAGCATTAGTTTTGCTCTATTTTTATTAAAGACAAACCAAAAAATCCAAATTGCTGCTCTATATTTTTTGAAAGATAAGGAGGAAAAGATAAGTTTAACTGCAGTTTTACATTTTTTACTGCAGGTTGGATCCTAAGTGTCAAATGTAATGTATTTTCTACACTTATGTTTCATGGAAGTTTTTCAGACTATGGCATATTACACTGTAGTTGGCAGCTAAGATTCAATATCAAAGGAAGTATCATATTAAAACATCTTCAGGAGTTTCATTGCTCATAAACAGCAAAGTAAATAAAACCTCTGAGGCTTTACTCAGTAAAAGGTAACCTAGGCAACATTTTGTGTGTTAATTTTCTATGCGTTTCACAATTAACCTCGTGCAGAAGCAATTAGACATACACATATTAAACTGTTCAATTAGCCACTTAATTGCAGCAATGAAAGTCACAATGAAAATTATATATTAAAGCAGTGGAGTCTTTATCAAAGTAACACTAAGGAAAAGAAGTTTCAGTAAGCTAGAAGGAAAACAGAAAGAAGTCTACAGAGACAGTTTCCAGTTAGCTGCAAAAAGAATAAAAAGAGTAAGAAAGGAAAAAGGAAAATCTCCAGGGATCACTTCAGCAAACTTCTATAGTCCTCAGAATTGCATCAGTTTTTAAGCAGTAATTAGCTTGCTGCAGAGAATAAGCAACATGTTCACTCAGATCCACATTGTGGTACTTCACGTTGATGTCTTGAACCTGTAAATGGAGATCTCCAATTTTGTAAGAAAAGAACTTAGCTGAACGTAGATGCACATCTGAATATAACTGCAGGTGTGTGATTCATCGTACATCTTCAGATACAAGACTTCAAATAAATATTAATCAGCAAAATACATTTTTTTCAAAACAAAACTGGAAGTCTATTAACTCCTTTCTGACCTCGTTTTTAAATGCCGAACAACTCAGAAAGCCAGTATATGTCTCCTTCTTTCTTCACACAACAATTATAATCTGTTTTCATAGAAATAAAAAAAGAATTCACAAGTCCTCAAGCACCACTCGCTGTCCAAGACTTAAATCTGAAGACTGATTTTGAAGAAGATCATGTTTATGATGTTTTCTTGTGGAAATGAAATGCAGCAGAATACCCTCTATTCTCTATACACTGGCTTAGTATCCGTCCATTTGGATGTCTGGCTTTACCTCAAGTTTTTCACTCAGGACTTGTTCTGAGTAACAGTAGACCTCAGGTAGGCTCGATATTCAGTACCTTTGACAAAGCTACTGGGATCTGTAGCGTTCAGAAAAACAGGTCTCTGCCAGCAGCTCCTCTTTGACAATCTACCACACTATTTCCAAGCAAATGCTTCTACATAAACATGTAAGGAACGTGGAGCAGTTCAGGACAAAGGTTTGATTATACTCCCAAATTAAAACAATGTGACAATGTTCTGGGCAATGCCAGGGACTTGCACTACAACAGAGATGAAGATGAAGTGCCCCTCATGAAGACGGAGGTGTGCAAGCCATCATTGACTGGCGAGGAGAGATGTGAAGAAGCAAAGTGTATGATCTTCTCTAGATCTATCACCAGAAGACATTGCAAAGTGATAACCTGTTGAATAGTGTCTAGCACACTGCTGGCTTTTAGCATTTCCATCACGAACTGACTTGCAACTGAAGCAGGAGCCAGGACAGATAGCATGTGGGAGACACGGTTACCATCCTCATAATTAAAATGCCCATCAGACACAGATTAATTAGATTAGTCTCAAAATTAGAAGCTATTTAATAACTGCTACTTTTCATTAGATAAGCTTAAGTGGAATTATATTCACAACTTTTTCATTAAATTCATAACACATAGCCACTATTTTTTGATCTATTCACCTATATATCAGAAGATTCTGTAAGTGTAAAGTTATACTTAGATAGGTACCAGCAAATCTATTAAAAACTAATGTCACAGCTCCCTCCCAGTCAGTATCGCAATAGCTGTAACAACCCACCATTCAAATGCTGGATTGCATCATTCCTAATACTAAGAAAATCAAGTCATATTATTAATCTAAAAAAAAGTTAGTGAACATTGACAGCGAAAGCAAAAGAAATCTCAGTTGTTCTTACAGTCACTCAGCATATCTTTTCATTAACCAGCAGGCAAAATCATACAAGAAAAAGGGTTATCAAGAACATGCAAACTGCACAGAACAGTGGCATTAATTTCAGGATCTTACAAAACTCAGAAAAAAACAGAAAAAATATCAGCCTCGAACAAGTAAGGTCAATAAGGAGTGTTATTTTCTGGTTTTCTAGCCTTTGACAGGAAAGGTCTAAACATAACACTAAGAAAAAAACAATAAAAACTTATCGCCACAGCCACATTAATATAGAAGCACAAATATGCACAAACAAGTCCTTGGATAGCATTGCTTTTGCTCCTCCTAACTTTCAAAGCCACATGGATTTTGGGATAGAAACTCCAATGGGGAAATAACCAGATGAAGCCACTACAGAAGCTATCTACGCAAGCATTAGTGAAGTTGGATGGTGTAATCAGTTTTTCCCCATTCTTCACAGTGCAAATTCCTTCTAATATATCAGCTTTACTGCTGCTCCTTACTTCCTCCTCTGTTTTTCTGCCCACTTAATCCAACTCCAAAAAAAACCCTGAGCCACCATGACAACTGCAACAATTCCATATGCATATCCCACTTGTTTATGCATATTTCAAAGAGCCCAGTATACAACCTTATCTGGTTCTGCACGTTCATGTCACCTCTCAGGGATAACCCATGTGTCTGCTGCTGTCTATGCTGCAAAAGGAAACCCAAGTCCTCCAATTCTGTCTACTTTTGCAACAGGTGACAGTGGTGCTACTGAGAGTGGTGTTGGGAGACAAGGCTGTAGGACAGATGTTGACCTGCAAGGAACAAGGGTATCATCACAACTCTAAGACATGTCTCATAGAGCAAAACAGTTTTCAGTTAACTTTTTAGTCTTGCTTTACTCACTCTATTATTCCCCACATACTTTTCCTACCTATTTTTGGGCTAGGAACAGTTTTAACTCTGATTATACAGTCCCTAGCATAACATCATTCCTGCCTGTGACTTGGACCCAGATGTACTCTTAGCCAGGTAAGCTATAAATCTAGATGGGTTGAAAGATTAACAAAATAGCCATATCCAATCAGATGAAATTTCATCCAGCTTGGTATCCAGAAGCAAATGCTTGTGGAATGAATCTTTAAAAGGTGCCATTTTGAAGTGGTCTTTCCTATAATGTGTTATCCTTGGCACTGAGCAGTTTGGGGGCTACCTGCACACACTACACTTAAACCAGTGGGAAAGTAGGCATGATTTCTTCTAAGCTCATCTTCACTGTGGTTCCAGGAGAGGAGAGAGTTGAAGGGTCCCATCTAGCAGGATGTTAACCTTTGCAACATCTTAATTAGGATTCTGGATGGAACTGTCCACATCTAGACCCCATGCTGAAACAACCTGAAACACTCCATGGTGAATATCTGTTTCTTTCCTGAAGGCAGCAATCTTTCTACATTAGAAGTATCAGCAGTATTTCTAATCATTAACCATCTCAGTCGGCAGCTGCTTCAGTGGGTGCTACTTTCAAGTAATGTTTTTCCCTGGTATCTGTTGAGATTAATATATACTGCTTCCACAAATAGTGTCTTCACTTAACAGGGATGCAGAAGTTTTACCACAGGTTGTCAAACACAATGTTAACCTGCCAGCACTGCTAGTTTCAGTGAATTACTTCTTTCAATGTAGTTTAATCACTCTGATCATGTTCAGATTATGTTATGCAAAATCCAGTTTCACCTTCAGACGTTTTTCTTATGTGCGCTATAATCAAAACTAGTATTTTTATAGCTTCCACTGTCACCAAAGATTTAAAAAAAAGGTGCTGAATAGACATAAACCTCAAGACCCGCAGACAAAACCAGATTAAATTACGACAATACCTTGTACATAGATAGCTCTTATGTGAAAGTCAAAAGCACTTTTCCATGGTAGATGTCATTATCTATCCCATTTGTAAAGCAAAAAACTACAGGCAATCAATGCCTGCAGGTAAGATGTGTCAGTGTTTCCACCTTTGGAACTGTTGCACTCAGGACCAGATCCAAAGATCTCATCGCACGTCAGTGTAAGACAAAGAACAGACTCTCTCCTCAAAAGCTACTAAGAAGCCCCTC